CCGAGAACAGAGCTTGTATATCTGCAGCATTACTGGTGAGTACGCTCTAGTTGCTGTATCGTGATATGTAGATGTCTAATTCCCGACTAATTCCGTGTAGCACCGTTAACGCCAAAATTCACCGCGGAATAGAGGGCGTTAGTGACGAGCTACTTGCACGTAACCACGATTTACGACGGTATTGCAACGAGCTGCGGAGTCTTTGCGGAGATTCCGCTCTCAAATTGCGCCACAAGTTGCGCGACAACATCGATAATGAGCTCAAAACCTACGAAAGAACCCTGGTGTCCCAATCTCTCGTCAGCGCAAAGGGGGTCATTAAATTCGAGAAAATGTACCGGAAGATCCGAGTGCTTCACAGGATTTCAAAGAATTTCGCAGCTCGTTACGATTTTATAAAGCGGATTGCAGACATCAACACCGCGTTCAAATTTCGGCCCCCAACTGGGAACATTCACGTTTATGAATGGGAATGTGGCCAAACGGGAGGCCATCCTAGTCCAAAGGATACCCAGGGAACATCGAGGTACCACAGCATAACGTTGGATGACATGGAAGTTTTCAGAGCAAAATGGACTTCATCTTGGACTAAAACCGGGATATTCGGTTTTCGAAAGGTGTTTATGGAATTCAGATCAACATCTTCCCATTCAGCCTTCCCCCCCGAATCCAACTCACAGTCGACAGCAGAACAACAGTCACTTCTATTTCAACTGGAAGGGGGTCCGGCATATGTCCTGGGTTGGAAGCTGTGGGCTAAATGGAAAAGCCAGCTCGGGCGGCGTCCTGAGATTACGGTTCGAGACCCGGAGAAGAGGAACTGTATCCTTTCGGAGGATCTCTGTATTGAGATCGATAGCTGGGTATCTGCGCTCTGGAAATGCGAAGTGACGTTTGTCTTCAAGCGTGACTTTGACTTTCCCATCCCTAGGAGTCCACAGGCTGAAACGGTGAGTCAAGCGCATTGGTTTGTTTGCTTTCTGTTCTGACGGACGTCCGCATTGCTACAGAGTGATGATTTGATTATTCGCGAGATTGACGCGAAAGCCATCATGTAAACCTTGATTACAGGTCAGACAAGCGTAATCGTATCGAGCTTTTCTTTATCGCATGTACTTCTACAAATTAGCCAAATTCCACTGGACCAGGCAGAATAATGACCCAGAAAAGTTTACCTGCATAAGGAGCGCTCACAAACCGTTCTTGAATTTCTGGGCGCTGTCGTTACCAGTATCTCCAACAGGCCGATGCTCGGCGTTTGCATCTATCATGATAGAATCCCATAGAATGGACATGTGAGGCGCCTCGTGGTGATAAAATTCCAGAGGGGTTATATTGGCATCCAATGGGTGACAGGTTCCGACGATCTCGTCGGCCTCTACCACATACCTATCGGGCGTGAATCAGGTCATGTTTCAAAATATATACCCAAGGGTTAACTCAGCGTTAAATTCACGGCTGTGGCGAGTCACAGGAGGTGAAGATATGCTCTGCCAGGCATGTACTTCAATTTCGCACATACAGGCACCCCGTCACGTATGCTGGGGCTTGAGGCTATAGTGACCAAAACTGTCTGTCGGCCCGAGTACAAGAACATTCATCAACAATAACCAATTGAATATATGAACGATATACTGACATACACAACGATACTTTGAAACGACAAAAGATAGGCGAACGAGCAACGAGGTGAGCTCGAACAGTGTCCTGATTTGCAAAGTGTGCATTCCAGATATGATAAGTTGACGAATTGGGGAATAATTGTTTGCCGGACCTCGAACCATTGATTCAGACGATAGGACACGCACTGCTTTATCGCTAAGTCGTCTTGAGTATATTCACCATCAAGGGCCAAGGACAGACGTACCCCTCAGTGTGATATATCCTGGTACAGCAAAGGCAGTATAAATCATCCCCGGCACGAGCCCACAAGGAATCAGAATGCTTGCCACATGATTGAGAGCGGGAGGGCTTCAAACATCTTTCCGTAATACACTCCTGCAAAGCGATTAAGGAAGATGTAAAATGAGCGGGATACTCGTGTCAACAAAAGTTGAAGGCACACCATCTGTCCTAACCGTTTTTGATACATAAGCTTTCGGACACAGAGGTCGAAAGAGAGTGACGTAAGTGCGATGTGAATGGGCACATTGTTGAGTCTGCTAAGAAACGTAGATACAATCTGTAAGGAGAACATCAACGCGCAAGATAAGCTGAAGTCGTCCAGAGGACGTACAGTGCCCATATCTCCGCTCCCCTCAGCACTTTCAGTCATACACCAAGTCTTCTGCATGACAGCTCGGATCGGAAGGTGGTGACGTAAGAGACCTCGAGGAAGGGGTGGACAAGGGGATTAGACAGTGGCTTGCGATAATACACACTTGGGTGTACCTGATCTAGCACGAGCGCGAAAAATATCATGCCATGTAGCCTGTGTAGCGCTAGGTACAGCATATCCAGGATCCAGTCATTTCGAATGCGAAACCGCGTAGCCAAACGTAACAGGAATCTCCGTTAATTGCCCAGGCCACCGATGAAAGACACCCCAATAGTCGATATGGAGCATTTCAGGCGGGCGTACATGCACCGGCAGAGAACCTCAGCAGGGAATCAACAACCTGGACACGGAACACCGTAGACGGAGTCTAACACGTACCGTTTCCAGTATTCCAGCACCACTACACAATCAAGAGTCCCAGATAAGGTATCCGGATCGTTACCGGGCACTGGAAGACTGAGGAGTGTGGTCTGCGAATACCACTTCACGTCGGAAGATGGTTACGTAATCGATGTCGAGGAAGTGGTGGTTTCGAAATGATGCATAGCGAGGTGCAGCAATCAGGTCATGGAGGAGCATGCTGAATGAGGATGGTGCTAACACACGTCAATAAATAGGCTGTAAAGGAATGAGAACTCAGTTTACACATAGCACACTACACATACCTATTCCCCGCCTCCTACAGCATAAGCTAACTCGAGTTCACCGCCTCCCCCAATCCTAAATGTATGCTCTCCTCGAGCTAGTCAGGGTATGCGCGGGTTTAGGTTCTACTCAACAGCAAACTGCGTACATCCCCCAGAATGATCACGCGCGGTGCAAAAAAGTCCTTCCTCGACCTCGCTGAACCAAGGGATGAACAAAGATGTATCGTTACGCATTCTTGTACCTCGAGGGATCCCACACCCCACACGATCGATGTGTTCTTCATCTGGAGGGGGTGAGTTGAAAAGGCGCGAAACGATTCCCACTCCCTAGATACGAAAGGGAGGTAACAGTGGATGTCGTTGCAGTGAGAAGCTGGGTTTTGCGGAAGGTTTACAATTGGATATCGGGTCTGCGAATACCCACACTAGTTTCGAGATCGGTGAACGGAGGGGAATGTGTAGTGCCTAGTGTAAAGGGGATAGGCTGTAAGGAGATCAGAATGCAGGTTATGGATAAGTGTAGGACTATAGACGTACCTAGTCACCTTTTCCCATAGCTTGAACCGACTCAACGAGTACGAAAGAGTGGTAGACAGACACGTTCTATTCGCCGCTTCCCCCTGATCCTGGATGTACCGTATCCTCGGTGCGAGGATTCCTGGGAGTGCGTGGGTATCGTGGATGCTACTGAACAAGTCAACGGTGGGTAAAGACTCGCAATAACGCGTGAACATACCCATATCTGTACCTATGTAAGCCCCCAAAACGAGAACGGAGGACGAAGCGCGTCGGCGCGCTGGATCCTCGAGTTGGAAGAGGATTACGTAACCTTCTTCTGGAAGTTCCTGATACCTCCAAGAATGCTACTCAAATGTCGCTATCAAATGAGGAGTATGCATAGCGTTGGACGGGGGAAGAAGAAAGAGGAACTGGGACTTGGAATTGGACCGCGCTCTCCAATATCTGGGCTTCCAACCATCGAGGAATGTGATGACCCTACAAGTCGAGGCAGATGGATAGGCGGGTGTTCTTCGTCCATGTCCGACTTCGAGAACAGGTTCAGGAATGGAGCGTGGAGGAATAGTGATAGTGCCGGCGCGAGCCGAAAGGGGAGAATGTTCGTTCCGTTCTTCGCAAACTGGCCACACTCGAAGAGTATAGGTGTGGGGAAGGCGGCAGGCAAAGTGAAAGCATCCTCCTATACCAGAACCGTTTCCTGTCACATGGCTAGGGCACGAGAGCTCGTGACGGTGGCTAGTGGTGTTAGGAAGGTCAAGCTGTGGATAGTGTTTACGAGCTTGCACGGGGTGGGGGTCTGGGAACCGAAAAAGGCGGAGGGGAGGTCAAGTGAAGAGAAAGGGTTGGGAGGAAGTAGGCATGGAAGACATGGCGGGTATCACGACCAAACTTGCGGGCTATGGCTGGTGCTCTTCATTGTGGTTACGCGGTGAACGAATGGCGGCAACCGGATCAATAGGTCGAACATGGAAGTATTTCTCGGAGTTGTGAGAACTAGAAGACAGGGAACTTGTGTTTGCGATGACGACTAAGGTTACTTTTTCCTCGACTTCAGTCCGGCGTTATGGTCGAGCGACCACGAGATTGCGTGAATAAACGAGGATGTTTTTGGTGTGAAAACCGTGATGCCGTTCCGCATTCCTAGGCCGTCTTGACAACTTGGAGCGATAGTTCTTTTGGGCCCATTGAGCTCTATGTTCAAGCATGCACGGAGAGAAAAGGGTACCACACCTCTCCAACCTAATCCAACCCAACACTCCACAATTTGCGCATCTAGCCCAGCCCAACGTATCACCACAATCCCCACTTTCATAGAGACAATCCCCAGACCTTCGACGAAAGCTTTTGCGTGCTCTGCCTTGCTAAGCGAGTCAATTACACCTTTCTTTCAAAAGGAGAAAGGATAGCACGACGCACCAGGTATCTGCAATCTGACTGGAACGAACAATCATCGTGGTTGCGGAAAGAAGCGAACGCGTAAAGGAATAGGTTTAGGGTTTGGTAAATAACGTAACGTTAAAAACATGTATGAGGTCGTGATCGAACGTCCTGCCAATGCTTCCTTGGCTCAGTTGGCTAGAGCGCAGGTCTCATACCAATGCGTATGACATTGCTTATCGTGATGTAATCCTGAGGTCGCAAGTTCGAGCCTTGCAGGGAGCATTTCCGGTTACACCATAGTTTTTTTTTTTGCAGACATGCAACAGCTGTGATCTGTAGGGTATATCGTGTAATATGCGTCTGACGATAGCCAAGCAATAGTATGATAATTCCACAAATGACACTCTGCCAGCCGACCGTGGAAGAGGCTTCAGCTTCTTTATTAACTGGGCATGAAGTAGATTCAACTGCTTTGTTTTTTTCTGGGACTCGGTGGTGTACTTCAGAGCCCACGCAAGACCTTTGATCACAATAACCTCACGGTACCTCAAATTTCATACCGACGTTTCTCATCCTGAGCTCGCAAGTTCGAGGGAGCACCCGGAAAGCATGTGAAAGTGAATAGATTGATATTTCCTAAAAATCTGTACAAGATCAGGGTAAGATATAGCAAAAGAGAGCTTTACAGAGCAATCCGGCACGAAAGGGTATAAGTAGTCACGGTCATCATCTGCCTCCGGGATACTATACTAGCGACGAACGAGTCAATCATACGTAGTAGGAAACAAAAAGAAACACGTAGAAAAGAATGATACAGAACCAAAGTGATAAACTATCGGAGACATTCCACCCATACGATGTTTTAGAAGTCATTCTACCAGTTGCCGTTGGGTACCTTCGAGGGAGCGTGTAGATTGGAATTTAAACGAATAATAGCCGAGCAGGAATATCACCGTATAAATGACATCTTGGTCGAGCGAGGCTGCGAGGAATATGACTTGTTCATATACCAATCGTGGAAGGATCTCGAGCACTTTGGAAGCGACCTGTCTCAGGTCTTGAACCGCCTGTCCCCTGAACAGTGGATCTAAACGTGTATTAGTGCAAAGGGTCAGTAATTCAAAACATCACACTCACCGAAGCTAACTTGGAATACAGAAACCCCAAATCCGTAAATATTCGAAAGTGCGAGTCGCGTGTTGAATTGGTTTCCCAATACATTGCTGAATACACCACCTGTGATGGAAAAGTGGCGGCTGAACGAAAACATTCCATATTGCTCTCTATGCTCCGGAGGCATTGGCGCTTCGTTCGCCCTGAACGCTTGGCGCATTGAATAGGCTGATTCGGCGCCAGCGAGGCGAAATTGGCTGATCCTATTCGAAATCCATTTCCGTATTATATGATTCAGGCTACCCTCCATCGTTGCCGTGAAGCAGAAACGAAGTAAAGGGACGATCTCCAGCAGCCGCACAAGGAATGAGCGATTATCTTCTTCGTGTTTCCCCATGAGGTGTCGATTTAGTCTGGCGGACATATCCGTTTCTAGAGCCAATTGGAGTACTGAAAGTGAAGTAAAGAGCAAAAATAACATTCCCGGTAGGATGAACGGTCTCCAAATTTGACTCCACAACTTGACGTTTTCTCGAACGTGAAGAGTCACCACCGATATAAACACCATGGTGTTGGATGATATAACGGTGTAGATTTGTGTTATTGGGTGCAGTAATTCTGAAGGCTGGGTGTATCGCGGAGGTGCTGGAGAGGTAGAGTGAGATTGATTGCGTTTACTGCGAAGGAAGCTATATCGCAACCAAATCCAAAGAATCCCGAGGCCCAACAAAATCGACGCGATGACGAATATAACTTTGGGTATCACGCAGAGCGCAGCAACCAAGTGCGATCCATTCTCCTGGTCAGTGAATGGGACGCCCATGAAGAGGTTGGTCAGGCGAAGGGGAAGATCCAGGTTCTCATCGACACTCCGCGTACTCCCGCACCACAAACAGAGAGCAACCATTGCTATGATACACAAGCCGGAGAAAGAAATTGGTAGGAGCCACCTAGTTCCGTGTGGCAACCGGACCAATAAATATGTTTTCAGCTTGTACATTGGCGAGTATCCTAGTAAATCGGATGAGAGCTGTAAAGTGTAAGCAATCCGTGATCCGTCCATAAGGGGCAGCCATACCATAAACCGTTTCGGGCGTCCAAGCCAGGGCGATTCTGTAGGTGCCGTCCATATGACAAAATCACTGATGACCACCAGCATTCTCAGTATCAAGAAGTGATAGTTTCCCGGGCTTGGCACTGTTTTCTGGAAGAGGGCCGTTACGAACACTCCCGCTATAGATGGGAGAAGAAGTTCACGTGGAATGTTGAGTTGCTCATACCCGATAGAAAGGAATACGGGAGCGAGGAAGAAAACTGTTTGTGTGTAGAGAATGAGCCAAAGACTGAAATCCTCATCGGTACAGCTCCCTGCTTTCAACATAGTGAGTGAGGGATCAAAATGACGCAAAAAGGAGGTAAGCTCGGGTGCGTTTTATATGTACTGCCTCTAACACGTGTTCGCTACACACAGCTTGCACACAGCCCACCCACATGTTCGCCTTTTGTGAGTGCATCTTGAATTTACGGTCGTTATCTTTACCTTCCTGCTCCTTGTGGCCAGTTCAGCTAGAATTTAAGACCATCAGCTAGGAATCGTTACAGTGGAAACGGCGCAGATCACAGAGGAAGGATTCAGAGTCGTCGGGGGCAATCCGAATACCACGTGTAGGAACATGCAAAAGCCACGAGGCAGTAAGAAGTTGTTGAGTGGAACAAATGCTACTCAAAAATCTGCCTAGACTCGAAAAGTCAATGGTGGAGAACCTGATTGTATAATGAAGGATAAACCTTGACCTCCTCGCATGAAAAGTTATATTCGAGTGGTTCCACTGGCAAAAGGCGTAACGTAGCGGTTATTTGAACGCTGTCAACCGAAATGAATGGGAATAGCGCGGAGATTGTACAGCAAAAGCTGATGACCACGCCATGAACATTATTTGCCGTCGGTTATACTTATCGACTTGTATCAACCGTGCAGGTAGCGCTCTGAGCCCCGTCGATCATGACCAGGCCCATGGGGGCATGAAGAACGCCACATATCGGTCCGGAAGTAATACACCCGATGTGACGCTTCCCTCGAGATTAATTGGATACGACAAGACATCAGAGCATGACAAGGAGGCACCGAATGTGATGTGTAGTAGTGTTCCTCACTCACGGATGTGAACGATACTTTGAGTATTGTCACACAGCGTCTGAATTATGGATTCGGGAATCTACGATAGACCAGATGTCCATCAAATCCTGTCGAGAAGGCGGAAGGGATTCCAAGAATGGGATTTGAATGGGATGACGATGCTGAAAGTACACATCTGATCCATCAGTTCCTGTTTGAGACGGGTTGAAGTCAGAACATACTGCTCAGCGAAAGCACTTGAAGTTAGCGTTGAATCGATGACATGGTTGCGGAGAAAGGCGGAATAGACTCACGTGATCGATCACATCACTGCTTTGGCGCTTGTTGGGCGCTTATCTTGGCCAATACAACTTCCTCTTGATTTATGGCCTACTGGATGAGTTTGTCTACATAGCTGCACAGACAAACCGCACGAAATAAGCTAGATGATGACAAAGAGTAATAGGTATGGTCACTGCCTCGCTAACATACTAGTGGCAATGAGATGGTATGGTAGCAGGAAATGCAGAGAAAATCAAAAGAAAGAATGTACGAGAGAACGGAGTTGTTGTGTCATTGTCCTATGAGCTGCTTTTGTATATCTCCGAGAAAACGTGTTATCTGAGGCTCGAACGAATAATAGGTAAGAAATAACATTGTATCGATGACATCCCGGTTGAGCGATGCCACGAGGGATATGAATTGTTCATATATCAATCGTGGAAGGATTTCGAGCAGTTTGGAAGCAATTCGTCTTGTGTCTAACCCCGGCTGACCCCCGAACAGTGAATCTAAACGTGTATCAATGCGAAGGATCAGCTGAGATCATAATAAACATGCCCCACTCACCAAAGCTAATTTGTAATATGGAAACGCCGAATCCATAAATATTCGAAAGCGCGAGTCGTGTATTGAATTGGTGTCCCAAGACATTGCTGAACACGCCACCTGTGATGGAAAAGTGGTGACTGAACGAAAACATTCCGTATTGATCTCTATAATCCGGAGGCATCGGCATTTCGTTCGCCTTGAACGCTTGGCGGGTTGTATCGCCTAGATCAATGCTGCGAAGGCGAGACTGATTGATCCTTTTCCATATATTACTACCCATCTCCATATGCATAAGACCCATCATACCCATACGAATAAGTGGTGCTCTCTCCAGCATGGATGCAAGGATTTTATTAAATGACCGATCCTGTTCTTCGCGGTCTCCTATGAGGTGTAGATTCAAGTGGGTAAACGTCTCTATCTCAAGCAATAATTGTAGTCCCGAAAGATATAGAAAATGTGTCATTTCCCGTGAGATCAACTCGCCCCAACCTTTGATACAAGAGTCGACGAATTTCCGAAATGATGCAGCTATCCAACCTATAGTGTCGCGCTGAAGAGATGGCGTAATAGAACTTCCATTATGCTGTGTTATTGGTCGATCCGAGAGTTGAATGTATAGCATGTTATATGAAAGCGTCGGAGAGGCAAGGCTGGGGTGAGGTTGACTGTGCGGCTCCCCGAGACAACTATCTCCAAAGCCATACCTCATGATTCCCTGCTGAGCGTTCACGACAACATCCAGTATAGATACCAATATCACCTGGAACAAACCACTGCCCAGCTGAATGACCGAGTCGCTCGCTAGGAGGTATGACTCGGAGTGAAAGCAATCGGAGGGTTCCAAGACATGGTCGACCCGCCTGTAATGAAGCTCGCTATGATGCCACAAACTAAGAGCAAATGCTCCCATAATACATAAGCCCGCGAAAAAAATTGGTAAAGGCTGCGTGGTTCTTCCTGGCAATAAATATCTAATCAACTTGGACACCACTGAGTATCCTCGTAGATTGGATGAAGACTGCAGCAAAAAATCAGCAGCTGATTATCCGTCCATGAAGAGTAGCCATACCATGAGACAAGCTGGAAATTGAAGCCAGGGTAACTTGACTGATGCCACCGACACGACAAGATGGCAGATGACCACCATTACTCTCAGGACCAACAAGGAGTGATGATTCCCCCAATTGGATACCGCCCACTGGAAGTTCGCTGTCAGGAA